GCTCGATCTGCGGGCCGTTCGTCGGCGAGCGGCAGCCCTCGAGGGCGGTGGTAGCAGTTCTCGGCCGCAAGCTGGCCTGATTCAGTGATTTCGTTTTTCTAACCGTGGCTATGTTTTCCTTCTCAGCTCTGACTTCCGCTCCTCGCTCAAATCTCTAGTTCAAGGCGTCTCATCTGGATCCAAAGACATGCTTGAGTTTAACCCCCCCAAAATACTGTTTCCAGCACTGCAAATCCTCCATGATGTAGCGAGGGTCGTGCTCCTCCCGGTCACCTCTCTGTCGCTCTGGTGAAGGCATCTACCCAGCTGAGTAAGAAATATCCTCCCACGCTTTTCACTGCAAATCATAGCTTCGCAGACAAAGCTTTAAAACATCGCTGCTGATAAGCAAGGGATGTTTGAAGTCTTGTCGATGTATTATATGTTTGCATACTAGATAGCGTAATGGGTTTCTGATTCATGGCTGGGGCCCTGAGCGCTACTGCAATATAATAATAAATAAAACATGTAGTTGGATAAAGTCAAAGGTTCCTGCTTATTTGCTGACTTTATCACTACCTTATGAGTGACCTTGACATTTTACTCTGGCCCGTGTTATTTTTCCCCTATGCTTTTTCGTGATTCGGAGGCTGCCTTGGTCATAAACTAGGAAGTCTCTAGGCGATTTTATCAGATACAGCTTCAATGTCTCAGTTGTCAAATATTTAAGACGTACCTGATATGTAGCCGTTTCTCTAACATTCTTCAATGGTCTTGTTGGGGAAGCTATTTCAAAGCCCCAAAGTTTAACGACTATGAGGTTACAAGAAGGCGGCCCTTTAATATACTGAAAATAATTGTCGTGTCTAATCAGAAGTAAGCAGAGTCATTAAGCCATAGGTACATTTCTCAGCTATGCAAATCCCTCCGCTCTTTCTCAAGATGTATATGGCAATCAAAGACCATGCTATGGTTCGTCCCTTTCTTCAGATTATCGATTTCCCTGCAGCAAACATCGCTATCACCTCTCTCTAACACATTTCCACTCCCTACTCCTTTCAATTTTTAAATTACCAGCCACACCCAAGTACCTACCTGCCCACTCTTTGCTTTCTTTTTGAATGAAGCTTCTTAGGGACAGGCTGATCAAATGTACTTGTGGTAAAGCTCGGAGGGAGAGGGAGAGGAAGGTGAAGACAAGAGACAAGTATTATGATCAAATAAAAGAGTTCTGGGGGTGTTCCTTAATTAAGTAAATCTCAGGGTTATGCAAGCTACTGTTACAGTTTTCTTAGGAAAGGATGTGTCTTTATGAATCACCATTAGTTTTCATTATCAGCTACTGTGATTAATGTCAAAGAGCAAGTATTGCATCTTCTTTACAGCACAGAGTTAACAGTTGGGTATTTGAAGTTCTTTTGACAAGTGTTTGGGCTTTTGTAAATAGTGGCTAGACTCAGTGCTCAGGCTACAGCTCATTTTGGACAGCTGAATTCTGATCACCCAAATTCACCCCCCCCACACACTAGAAAAAGGATTTTTTTTCTCTACTTCTTGCTTTGTGATTACATGGAATTGTTTTACATCATTCAAACATAGTTGTTCCACTTGAGATGCAAGTAAATATGTTTCCTGTGATGACTGAAATGGCCTCTATAAGGTGTAAATAAGTTTATTTCAATTTGCTGAATACTTTGGGATCCTAAATGTTAAACATAGTTCTTACAAAATAGACTAGTGAAAGTGAGAAACAAGTACACTCTTTTTGGATGATTCTTTAGTTCCAAAAATAAGAACTCTCAGAAAGATAGGATATTGTTCTCTTGCTTTGCTCTATCATTTTTTCTTACGCATAAAGTTATCAAACAGTATAATTAAGATTACATATATGAATACAGCTTCTGTTGAGCTTCAGCTAGGTTCGCTGATGACTTCAGCGAGAGCACATCTTGAAATCTTCAGCAGCTTCTCACAAAAACCACAACAACTTAAATGACCAGGCCAAGACTGAAACTGCACCATACCCTGAGTTATTGAACTGTGGATGATAAACACATAAACACAAAAAACTGATAGTTAAAACTCAGCCACTGGCAAGTAATGAACTGAACAAGATCACTGTATCTAAATTAGGTGCCCGGATGACAAAAGCTGCTTGTTCTAACAGAAAAAGCAAGTAACTGCTATTGCAAGATTGCTGAAGGTCAACAAGTAGATTGGCAGAAAGCTGCAATGGCAAAATTTTTAGTAATGTTGCTTGATGCATAAAGAGGATTGAAAAACATGCCCCCGACAATAAATGGAGCTTAGGTTATAGCAATTATACTGCTTTGCAGAACAACATTCCCAGAATCAGTTAGAGCCATCTCAGTTACTCCTGTAATCTGTAGAAACATTTTGCTAGTGCAGAGACTACTGTTTTGTTACAGTCCTCTTCTCTAGTGCGTGATGGTCAAATAAAGCGGCATTCATTCCCAGCTAGATTCAAAAGGATAGGAACTGCCATTGGAGCTGCAAAGGAAGTACAAAACAAACACCCCCACCCCTGCATTTCTACCTAGATGCATGCATATTTTAAAGACTAGACTTTATTAGAAGGGACCAGTGGGACTGAGGCGACACTAGGCAATCATGTTACTGGCAGCTGAGCCAGATCAGCAGTGATGTTCGTAAGGGTCTGAGAGTTCTTAGGTTAACAACTATACTATATTGTCGTAGCGTTCCTGAGATGTCAAGAGCACTTCTTTAACAATAGTGCGTTTTGGGGTTGATATTCTTAAGTCACAGGGAAAATTTATTTAATACTTGCATCGTGTTTGAATGACTTCTGCTAGCATTTACCTTTTGATCAAATAGTCTCTTCTGTTCCTCCAGCACAAAGAGCCATTTATGAGTTCTTCAGCCACACCTGCCGACTAACATAGTAATAGCAACCGCTCTAAAATCCTCCCTTTTTCATAAAATTATGACAAGTTATCCTTGTGGAGGCTGTGGATGTTCTGCATACTTGTGATCTCTCATCTGTGTGTTACTTCACCAATTAAATTAAGTAATCATGCAAGATGCGCTCTTTCTAATTAGTGAATGGAAATTCTGATGTGATGTTTTAATTAATTCATGGGAGGAGGGGAAGGAATTACCATTTTGTCCAGTAATTCTTCGTAGCATATTCTCTTAGGTTGTGAAATACATACTTGAAATGTTTGTAAATCTTGAAAAGAAGTGACAGAAAAGCCATGTTGGTGGACAACACTGCTCTCAGTTTACTGGTACCAGCACAGAATAAGTTGTTTAATACGGTGAGGTTATTTGGGACTGACATCATTACAAATTTTGCCTGCGAATATGGACTGCTATCAGAAGGAAAAATAGATGAGATCTCTACAGTTGAGGCACGCAACCTCTGTTTTTAATTCAAGGAGAGCAGTTAACGTGTTCCTTATTTTGTTTGCTTGGTCAGACAGTTCAGTTAACAGGAGCTGTTTGCGGGCCCTTGGCTGAGTTGGTGGAGGACAATAGTGGTGCTTAGGGGGAGGTAGATTCCCATTTACTTGCAAACTTTGGCTGTCACCTCTGTTCTCTCTCTGTCTACACATCTGGAGGCAGTAGAAAACTCTGAGACCTATTATCTATTGTTTTCTACCAATGTGGACAGATGTCCACATTGCTATGATCTATTTTGAGGGAGGATCCAGACTTGGCATTTTGATGGAGGCATTATTAATGCATAAAAAATGTAAAGCCTCTTCACTTCCTTGCAAATGTGCTATTATGCCTAAGTCAGGCAGTTTGTAGGTGCCTGGTGGTGCTAATGCACAAAGGTCTGAGACTGCCGTTTCCTACCGATTTGTAAAGGTGGGATATCACAATGGCTTAATGTTATGACAACACATAAAATAAATACTGCTTCCTTTTGAAGCTTAGTCATGAAGAGTATATTTTTTTTGATTTTAGAATGAACTTGAAGATTGTTTACATCCCATTTGGTGAGAGCAAAATACTTGTCTTGGATTGCAGCATAAAAAATAGAGAAAATGAAGATTAGTCTTAGAAGTAAGAGCAAGGCCTGTATTCAGGTAAGGCATTTTACAGTATATCTTTAAATGCAGTTAGAAACACGTGCAGCTTTTCTCATTTGATGCATATTAGTATGGCTCAGCTAGTAATAACAGCAGTTAGGGAACTGGTCCATAGTATATAGGTTAAGTTTTAAACAGAAAATTGTATGAATGAACAGAATGTTTTGTGAAACTAAATAACTTTTAGCAAAACCTCATTAAAAATATATATATATATATGTGTGTTTTTCAGCTGAAGGTTGCCTGTGTCCTCCGTAGTTATCACATGTACCCATCTACTTATTCCATAACTTTTTCTTGTTACATTTTGGAAGGATTTTGATGTTCATTGGAGTTGCAGAAATCCTTGTGTGGAGCATGCTTTTTTGATGTCTTGGCTCTCAAAGTCCTTAGCAATGGCATTTTTAATGGTGTTTGGGGTGTAGAAGTTGTGCTGAAATTAGTGATCTGTGTTGGCCTGGTTCCTGTAAATTCTGGCACATCATTTGCAGTCAGGCTATCTGACAGCAACTAATCCAAGGAGGGCAGTTTGCCTTCTTTCCTTTCTCTGTTCTTAGCCAAAGCAATGATAATCTTGGATGAATTCTTTACTTAAGAGCAAAGATTACAGGAAATTTAGATGTGGTATGGAAGAACATCAAAAGGCCCAGTTTTAACAGATAAATTAAGAGAACTCTATTCAACTTTTAAAGGATGGTTCTCTATAGAGTTTCCACTGTCTTTCTTAAACTGTGTAAACAACTTTCCTTCTCAATTTCAGGAGATGCTGTTCTTCCACCACAGTGACCTTTCTTAAATTCAGATAGTTTTTTGTGTTGGATGGAAAATCAGAGACTCTCTTCAATACCAAGATTATGAATTGTGTCTTGTCTAACTTCTATTAAATAAACAGAAGGCTTTTTTTAATTAGTTACGTTGGATTAAGTCCGTAGGCAACGTGCACAAGATTCTGACACATGGCCAATAGCTAATGTCATAAAAAAATACCTCCATCTACCTACTTATCCTTAATGGATCAGTCAGTGATGTGATCTCAGAAACACAGCTTTTAGGGTAAAGCTTCATGGGAGCTCCCATCTGCAAATATGTCTTGAAAAATTTTAGCTTTTTCAAGACAATTTTCACCGGATGATTATTGACAGATGAGTTTTGTGTATGAGGATACCACTTGTATATATGTCACAAGTTATTTTTACCTGGACTTTGCCAGTCGTAACAGTATTTGACGCAGGTGCAACATCAAATTGGAAGACTGGATGTGCATATGTAAACTGTGTAAGTGTATTCACAAAGCAGCATCTGTCCTGTCATCAGTCTCTGAGCAAACAAATCAAAAGCTGATACACCAATCTGATTCCCAGGAAATGTGCTGGGACCTGTTAAGGGAACTTGCCCAAAGGTTGATCTTCTAGGTCTTTTAATGCATTTTTATTGTCTGAATGTTTTATTGTTTTGGACTATGCACGTTCAAGAAATTCTCAGGGATTGGATCAATAATCAGCCTTTAAAAAAATCTCCAGTTTACGGCTTTCCTGTGAAATTTGGAATTTTGTCGTTGTTGATTTCAGATTGGAAGCCTTCTTGTAACTGAATGAAATCTGCCACACTCAAGCTATATTAGTTTATGGTTTCTGGGAGGTGATGTCTGCAGCTATATTCTAATTGTTTGTTATAAAAAAGCAGACTTGTTCCATACACCTGTATGCCTTTCTCATTTTCATAAGGACAATAGTTTCTTTGGCTCAGACATCACCTTCAGAGTGTTACAATAATACAATAAAAGGCTGTAAAACAGTTTACTCTTAAATTGCTTGCCTTTATGACCCTTAAGCTTTCTGCCAGCTTCTGACTGTGAACGCAAGCAAAAGCTTTATACTGTTTGTCCTTAGTGTTGCATTCACAGAATATATTTGTTGCCTGTATTGTAGTCTGGAAGCTCTCCGTTAGCCTTTTTTCCCCCTGTATCTACACCAGAACTTTCACTTATGGTCCCAACTGTTTTTAAAAATCCTCAGTTATGGGAACGTTTCCTCCCCTATTAAGAATGGCAGCATTTAGAAATCTCTGGAAGACAAAACAAAACAAAACAAAACAAAACACCTAATTGTCTCTAACCAAAGGAAAAGTTACCTCAGTGTGGGATCCCACTGGCAAAAGGCAGTAAAATGTAAAAGTCCCAGAGACTTGGCGCTCTTGTGCCAAAGAATCAGTGAATCCTGTTACCGTACCCGCAACTAGAAAAGACCGCTTCTTGCCAATGGTGTGTCACTTGTAGTTCTGCAGGCTTTTACCTCCCTAATCTGGTCTTTAATTGGTGTCTGTAATTAGAAACACTGGAACACAACTTTGGTAGCAGGCACAATGCCATCCTAATAGGCTGGGAGATCATGTCTTCACCAAGGACTAGGCTCCAACAGAGACTGTTTTCATTCCCATTGCTGTGAGGAATATACTATCTGTCATTGCCATCTCAGAGTCAGGTTAGTTTTTAAAATAACATGAAGGCTTTAAGTGTGGGAATGACCAAGTAGCGATTTACCTGCATTTCAAGGAAAATAAAAGAGAATTAAGCATCCTTTCCTATTGTGAACTCAGTAAAATATTCGAAGCAATGACCAGAGATTTATATTAGTAGGTCCAAAGTTCCTATTTTGATGCCTTTTTTCAAGAAGCAAAGTCACAGAAGAACCCAGAGTCCTTCAGTTGTTTATAAATTTATGCTAACCTCTAGAGCTAATGAGAATAAAATTGATTTAAAAACTGGGGTATGCATATACAATCTCTCCAAATGCAAAAGAGTAGCATTATTTCTAAAGTCACTTTAACTGTGCTTACATATTTTATCCACAATAACTCCAAGTTTAACTTCATTTCCGCCTAAAAAAAAAAAAAACAGAGGGCAGATATAGAACACCCTTGTACCTTGCATCCTTGCATTCCTTCACATGCACCTGGAAGGAAAAGCTATTCCCGTTGTTTATCCATCCTAACAAGAAGGTAGCAGGTTAATGAGAAAGGCTCCTTTAGGGATGTTTTGCAGATACGTCGTACAGGAACAAGCCGAAGATGAGCTGTATTATTTCTTGATCAAAAACATTGAATTAATCTTAAAAATTCATATTTTTTTTTCTTTTTGTAGGACACAGAACAGATGTATTGTAACTGTATCCTCTTTCTGCATTATGCTGCAACTTGACAGTATCTGAAAAATATTTTTGTCTTTGTTACACACACTTAGGTCTTTGATCTCAACAGTGTGAGGACCTCATTTAGCATGTTTTTCATTCTTCATTCTGCAAGTTTTTCATTTAACATTGGGGAATGTCTCTTTTATTGATAATGATTTTTTCCAAAAGCATTGATGAGCGCCTCAACCAGACTACACTAGATTATAGATTTTGATATACTAGATAGTAGATTTTGATCGGGCTGAGGAATGCTACTAAGGAAATGAGTTCTTTTTGAACTGAAGGTAGAGTTTAGCTGGCAGAGTACATGTTGAAATGTTTTCTTCCATATGAATGGTGATACTTTGCAGTTCTGTAACACGTTGTGTTTGAAGACCTCAAAACTGTATGTAAATGAATTCAGCAGCATAGGAATAGATAAGAGGAGATAGCTATTTTGTATTTCTGCTCCTTTTTTTTTTCCTGCAAATGAGTAGACTGCATAAAGAGAATGTATTGATCTGCATGAAATCACAAAAGGAGTCAGTGGAAGAACTAGCAATGATGATGGAAACTAAGTTTCCCAGTTCCTGAATTTACAGAAAAGGCGATAAAATGAAAGCCAGGGGCAGTCTACAGTTACCAGAATCTTTGTGGGACTTCTGCAAGTGCAGGGTGTGGTGTATGTCCGATGAGCAGTCTGCCACTCAAAGGGTGACAGGAAATACCTGGGAGGTGCTACTGAAAACAAGCTGGCTGCAGCAGAAAGCAAATGGTGGGAAATGATTTTTAAGAGCTGGTTGGAGAGCAGCCTGAGATTTTAGCAGCTGGTTCTGCCGCCGAGCCACCCTGAACTGCTTCTAGCACAGCCCTGAATGTAGCAGTGTTAATCCCCGTGTATCAACCAAATTGTTGCCTCCCGAGATCTGTGTGGGAGCTGGAACTTTGCTGCCTGGCTCTTCTCTGCTCTGCAGAGGTGGTAACCATCTGCGTCTTTTATAGCAGCTCGCTCCCTTCCCTGGAGCCTTGAAGAGGCTAGGGTTCACCACAGGGAATATAGGGGCTATGTAAGGAATGATAAGGGTAGATTGCGCTGCAAGAACTCTATTATATGCCTATTGCAGTGGGACTCTCCTTAAAGGTTAGGCTAAAAGGATAACTGAGGCAGTTGAAGCCCCTCTGCGTACTTCCTTTGAAAACTGAGCAGGTCAACGTTCCCAGCTTTTAATTTTTGTGTTCATCTGGTAGCTCCTGACTGCGGGCCAACATGAGTAAACCTCTCAAAGTTTAAATGGGAGATGTTCATGCTGAACGTCTGTAGTGTGACCTGTTTATACTTAATGGTTATCACCATTAAAATACAAGGACACCAGTAACTGCAAGCTTCTCCGTAATGGGAATATTACATTTAAATGCAAGTAATCAGAAACAAAGCACTCCTCTTATTGTAGAAATAGTTTGCCCACACATTGATTTAATTAAGAATCAGTGCATGCACAGAAGCAACCTTAGGTTCCTATCACCTTGTAATGCAGTCACTGAAAATTTACATATTCAAAATACCATGCGTTTTGAAAACAGGCATACAACTATAAATAGTACCAGCACTGACAGGTTGACCGAAGATGGAGCAGCACAGGGGGAAACTGTAAAGGAGTACACTTTTTCTGCAGCACTGTGTCCCTTCAAGAGTTTGAGTTACAACACAACCCTGAGGGGAGACAAAAAGGCTGCAGGGATTTAAAATTCCAGTATGATGCCTGCTGATGGGGATGAACAAAATTCAACACGAGTAAGTAACGTGCACTCAATGTCACATATACCTACTCTCCTGAGGACCACAAATTCCATTATAAGGTCACGCATCTGGCTTTTTGGCTGCATCTTTTTAGCCTAGAAAATGATAAATGCTACAGGTTCAGGTTGCCTCCTGTTTCAGTAGAATATTTGTATGTGTGGTTATTTGGCCAAAAAACAGTGCAAGGAAATGACCAGCTTATTTCTTTAGTAAAGAAATATATATGTACGTATATATATTTGTGTGTGTATATATATGTATATACACACACACACACACACACACACACACACACACACATATATTCAAAACTTTTATGTGCATTACATATTGCCATTCTTATGTCTTGTATATTAACATACCAGAATGCTTAGCAGAGGAAGTTAAACAATAAATAACGTTTTCATTAAGATGAAATACCATATTTTGACCCTCATGTTAAGAACTCAGTGATGTGATTACCATATCTAAGACCAAGAATTTGTAACACGCTGATATATAAGTGTTTATGGTGCCAAGATGATTACTGATGTGTGATATCGGCATGTATTTTGTTCCAGCTTCAAAGCTTTTCAGCCATCCGTACTAGTCAACATCAAGTTCCTACTCCTGTTATAGTTAAAAGCCTGTTTACCTTTGAATTCTGTGGCAACAATAATTGGCTGGTGGTAATTCTGTGAATAATAGACTTTAATAACATTTGCTTTACTCATCTGATCAGTCCTACGCATTGATTTGAACAAAATTTCTCAAGTAAATGCAGCACAAAGTATTTATGGTTTTACATTTTTAATTATCACGGGCCAAGTGTTTAACATTAGAAAATGAAAGACAGGTATTTAGGAAAAAAGACAAAGTTATTAGTATTTTCCTCCTAGCAGTGTTCAGATGATACACACAGACCAAACAAACTATATAGCCACTCCAAAATACGTAGTATGCATTCAGCTTTTGTGAATTCTAGTAGTTACCAGAGCAAACAAGACAGATGTCCATTTTATATCAGTCCACAGAAACATTTTCATTTTGTGTCACTGGGACACAGATTTCTAAGAAGAAACTGAGAATGTTCTCTTGCTTCCCCCCCCCAAATAAACTGACTGATAATCTATCTTCATCTATTAAATTTTGCCTCTTGTTTTTTCTCTTGTTCATTTACGGTCTGCCTTCTGAATGCCCTTTCTGCAGTATTTTTCATTGACTGCTTTTATGTCACTTGGCCAAAACAAAGGTGCTAAATTACAGACTCTTCGTTATAGAGAACAATCACCCAAGTGCTTTGCTGTTGTGCCACTTCTAGGGGATTCCTTAGCTTTCTCTTTCATTTATAAAAGACAGCAAGAAGAACATCTGTGTTTGATGGGAGAGGGGAAGCAGCACAACCATTTATAAAGTCACAGCCACAGTGTGCAGAAGGAAAACACATGTCCCATCTGTAAATGAAAGTTCGATCCATTCGAGGTCTGTAGTCATTCCATTTTTATGAGCTGATCTGGATTACACCTTGCCATTATTTGGAGCTCTACTATAGTTACTTTCCTTGCAGTTTTCCCCACCATAATATCTGATGCCATCACCAAGATTAATGAATGCAGCCTCACAACAACTCAGAGAGATTTATGGAGCTCATTTTACAATTTAAGAAACTGAGGCTCAAAAAAGCCTGAGCCATTGATCCAAGTCACAAAGGAAATATGTGGCAAAACTGTGAATAAAATTCAGATCCCCCGATTCGCATCTCAGTGCTTCCGTCATAAAGCTAATGTTCTGTTTTGGTGCAAAGACTAATATAAATGACATCACTGTAAGAAGACCAATACCCCAGCGCGATCTTAAGGAGAAGAAAGCAGAAAGATGCATCATCATTTGAATAAGATTAAAGACTTGAAGTCATCAGTGAAAGCTAGTGGTCAAAATAACTAGCTAGCTGCAGGCATTAGTATGATGTCTTTTTATGTTTCCTAGCCACCTCTTCGAAAATGAAAACTTTGGACTGGGAAACTGTATATTTAGTGAAAGAGCGGGTAAAAAACAGCAGGATCATAGGGAGAAGTTTGGTGGAGGGAATAAAAGAAGGAAACGCTCCCAAAATTTCCAGAATTTCAGAATTTAAAAAACAAAACAGAACAAACGGGATGGGAGGAGTTATTATGTAAACCTTTGTGACTTCTTCTCTCTGGCCTTTACTGTATCCATTTCCTTTACTCTTTTCCACGTACATACTCAATACACCTGACGACTTCATTCACAAGTTACCTCTCTCCCCCATGAATTCGAATTTGACAGTCCTGACGCTGCCTTACCTGAGGACCTGTTCAGCTCGTTCCTGTCCAGTCATTTTCTCCAGTCTCCGTTCTCAGGCCCTAAAAGCATACTTTTAGGTCCCCTCCCCTAAAACCCTCCACTGATTACCTAACCTCTCAGCACCTCTCACTTCCAAACTGTCTCTCTGCTCGCTCCCAGATTCTTTGCTGCCTCGCCTCCTTACTCAGAATTTAGGTCAGAAAAGCAGCTGCTAAAGGGAGATGTTTTTCCACCACAAGGTTGGGCACAAGGTGGATGCAGGAAACAAATCTACAGGATCCGCTGCTCCTGGAGCAGCTTGTCTCCACCTGTTGTAATGTTAAGTACAGCATTGCCACGTGCTTTTGTGTAGGTAGTATGCTCCATTGTAAGAGGATTGTGATTTTGATGGTGGCTATATGAGTCTTAACAGGTGAAATACAGAAAATGAGCCACAAGGAGATACAGTCTGCAAGTATCTGCGCGTAACTTTCTGTTCAGAAGAATGGAAAACGATGCGAATTTCAACTGTCACACTTCTAAGAAGGGATCCCTTTCTTGCTGCTTTACGCTATTGTAGATTCTCCCGCACAACAGGTGAGATAATCTACAGTCATTTATTGTAGAGCCTGTTGGAGTCCTTGGAATGACTTTTTATTTTTCAGGAGCAAATCCAAAAAGTGCAGTAAAGCAGTAACCTTGAGAGATTTAGTGGGTCATGCACTTCAGCTCGTACCTCTGTTAGAAACAGATACGGGCTTCTGCAAATTTGAGTTAAAAAAGGGAGCACAGGGAACATACTCTGCCCTCCTGTGTGATGCCATTCATAATGAAGAAAGGAGAGGTTATTTTCATGATGATATGGGTCTGTTTCTAACAGAAAATAGGAAGATGGCAAATACATTTTGCTTCATTAAATATTGCCATTGTTGCTGCAGTTCTAGAATATGTAGCTGCAAATCCAGCTGAAGAAACAAGCAGCAGGGAAGAGGAACGTCTTTGGCCGCACCACTATTCTGGCCACCGTCTATTGGCCACCCCAGTTGCGCCAATGCAGTTGTTTGCTGGGACGTGCTGTAACCTAGGGCAAGGGAATTATCTGACCTACAACACATCTTGTTCTGGTGAGTTTTTTTTTTTTTTTTTAACCTGAATTATTTCCTAGATTGATTGCCTGGGAATGCAATCTTTACAAGGCTTGTAGTGAACTTCTGGAATTTGTATCCAGAGGGAGTGACGGAGATAAATGGTTTTAGCCAATTTAAAATGGGATTAGACAAATTCACGGATGGCAGATACATAATAGCTACTACATGGAACAGGCAGAGATGTATCCTCTAACAGCCCTAACCCAGCAATTGTGGATATTGGGCAGCATGAGGGAATGGACCACAGAAAGTGGCCAAGCTCATGGGCTCTCCCGAAACAGCCTTTGCAACTGTCATTCCTGGAGGCAGAATCTGGGCTAAATGGACCATTGATCTAACCCATTAAGGCATTTCTTATAGTCACTATATAAATAGGCCTTGAGTTGCTAATTATTTGTTTCAGATATCTGGATTTGCTTTACTCTTGAGCAGTACTCTTCTTAGACAATATCTAAAGACCTGACTTCTTTTTATTGTGAGGGTGAGCTAGTTTTCTTCTCATTTACTGTAGTGAAGGTTTGCATCTTTACATGCTTTAGAATAAGAGTCCAGTGGAATTTTTTAAATGAAAAATTCCCAGGTCCTGCACGAGTAGTGAACCTAGTCTATCAGCCTTTGCTTACTTGCACTCCTTTGCTAAATCACATCTTCACTGCAGTGGCGTATCCACTGAATTCAGTGGAACTGATTCTGCCTACACCAGCAGTAAGTTTGCTGGCTAATTTAAGGCATACCAAAATTTGGATATTTCAATGCAATGATATTACATGCATATTTATCCACAGGATGCTAGTGTCAGTATTTGCAACACTCACAGTATCTAGCAGAGTACTGTAAGAACGAAAACAAGACACTAAGTTGCTAGAGCTATTGGGAAACAAAATGCAGCCACACACAAAAATAACCATTTGAAATATATACTGATGAAGAGGTTACTTTTTCATGATCCAAGCATCTTTGGTATCAGATGTGTTTGCCTGATGGTTGCCATATAGCCCTTTTTCTCTCTCATGAAGGTGCTTACAGTTAAGACTATGTGTAACTTGGACTTCTGGCATTTTTTTATTGAGCAACGTGCTCCTTATGTTGTTAAACACTCACAATACAGTGGGGATTAACTTTGAACCCACCCTGATTTATGCTGTTCCTAACTGACCCCGTCTATTGCAAACACATTGCTCATTCATTTTTCTGGAAACGACAGAACATGAGATATTTGGAGGGACAAAGACTCCCCTTATAAAGACATGCAATAGAACAGCTTGTATGGTTTTTTAAATTTGGGCTCAAATCTCTTTCTGTTACAGTAAATTTGCTGCATATTGATTTTCCTGAAGTTACATAAGGCATAAAACCAGCCCTTAGTCCCCAGAAGCAGTGCAGCTGTTTCCAGGACCATGAGTCATGTGTATGACTTTTCCTTTAAACTTCCCACTGTCTTTTTAAAAATATAGTTGAAATCAGTTTTGCTTTTCAACACCAAAGAGAAACAGACGTTAGTTTTCCCAAGAACTGGAGATTTAGCCAAAACCTTAGGTTTTCACAGGCTGCTTGGACACCAACATTTACACAGGGTTATAGAACGTGGGAATAGTATTATACATGATTACACACACCTAAAAGTCAGATTGGAGGTACTAGAAGTGTCTTGTTTAAGCAATGGTGAAACACAAATGCTGCGTGGCTGCTGAAGTTATTTTAAATAACCGGGCAATCTAGACCTTATCTGACCAAATTAGGCATCAGCATGGTTAAAATGTTGGTGGCCAGAATACACCGATACCCTTGTAAATTAATGCAAATTAATGTTAGCAATAGTGGGAAAATTGGAGAAATTAAGGGTATGCTCTCGCTTCTATGGCAAAGTATTTGTATATAGTCTAATTGCCTATCAAAGCCTAGGAAAATGGGTTCAGACTGAAAGAATAACAAACACAGATACAGGCGGAGACTATGACATTCTAACTTAAGTGGTATTGCATAACCCCATCTGGATTAACAAGGCAAGCACTGATGATTAAGACCAGCTTTTCCTTGGCCTCTTTCTATAATATTTCAAACAGAGGCATAACAACCTCCTTGTGCCACAGCAATCTGAGAGATATTTGTTGTTTAGCTTTTTTTAAATTTTGCTCCAGTTTTCTGCCAGCGATCTAAACCTGACCTAACTACTACTGGTATGTACTTCCAAAGGGAATTCATTATGTTCTCTGAAGAGATGCTATACCATTCCTCTTCTGGGTCTGTGGGATCCCGTGTGGAGTTATATGAGTGTGCAGGTAGGTGCATGTAGTCCTGTTCGTTATCACAGTGTCTCCCGTGTACAGACACAGGCTCACCACCACAACACAGCTGCGCATCATACACACCAAGAAAATGAGACATGGATAAATTACGTGATTTGCCCCAAATCACATGGCAATCTGTGTCAGGTCTGGGAAATTTTCTGAATAAGTTTTAGGAGTTCCAGACCAGCCTATTTACCACCAGGCTTGTGAAGCGAGGAGTTTCTGACCCCTCTCCTCAATCTAAACTCCCTGTTATGGTTTTTAAAAAGTCACTACTGCCTTGAATGGCTTCCTATGTGCCGTACAAGTACCCAGCCACTCAACTCACCTCTCAAGGACACTTGTGAGAAAACGCTAAAGTGTTTAAAGTGCTCTGAAGGTGAAATCCACACCAATTCATTGTATTTAGGCATCTAAAATTAATCCCATGTGTTTGTACTCATTTCCTGTAAAGCTTTTGGTCTGCTTCATGAGCTGAGAATGCAGAATGCATCTTCCCAACTGCTATGTTCAAGCTCAATTCTAAAAAAGTCAGTAGAGGATTAATGAGTGAAATCTCCAAATGTTATTACATATTCATGCATTTCACACACTTGCATAAATTTCAATAAATGAGGAATTTTTAGTAAAAATAGTACCAGAGACATGACAAGAAAGGCTGAGGCATTACTTAATCGCTGCTGTATATATTATAAACCTCTCTATCCAGTTTGCTTCAAAGCCTTTCTCTTTCCTGTTTGAAGTCTGGCAAGAAACTCACAAGACTGCTAGAAAAAGCTAATGTAAGGTTTTTATGATGGATTGCTCTAAGGCAAAAATCAGCGGATCGGATTCACGCTGTCATCCCAAGTTAGGCAATTATTAATTCATTTAATATGACAGATACTGTGTTTTAAGTCACATTGTACCTATGCACTAAGAAATGCATGTAAGACATAATTCCTGTTTTTCTCTCTCACTATGTACATATATGTACACACTTGTACGCACATATACAAGTTATACAGAGATAGGAGTGCACATGTGGAAGGGATACGTAAATTGTCTTTTTTCCCTTCCTTGGGCACAACCCTGCATATAACCACATGTATGAGTCACTGCAGGATCAGGCCCTGTGGCTGCCTTTTAAAGCGCAGTGTTGCTGCTTAGCAACTATATTCTGCCTGGATGAAACTAGAAGCCTTGCAAATCATAAACAAATACGTAGGTCCGTTGGTAGGCCAAGTTAAATAAAGTGGTATCCCTTATCCTAACCAAGTGTACTCCTCTTTTTTCATAGTAAACATTTCCATGAAGAAAAAGAGGGAGTGGTATAGGACACAGACCTTTCAAAGGAGATTTTTTTTTTAAGTGAAAAGGAAATAAATATGACTCACAGGAAGTTTTTAACCACCATGGAAAAAAGGAAAAGGCTCCTGGGGAGATAAAATTAAATTATTTAGTCTTTTAAAGCCAAATTTTAAAGTGGATTTAAACATTTGGGTTTTTTTTCCAAGAGTAATAGTTACAAAAATGTGTTATTCTTTCCATAAAACTCAACGTGGAATTGCATGGACAAGGGATTACTTTTGATATCTTTATAGTTATTTTTATTCACATCAGTCAGACATACTCATGCAGTGAAATTTCATTAATTCTCAAGGCTGACTGGATGAGCTTAACAAAGAGAGGCGTTGCAACCAGCCCACAGAAACAGTACTCTTGAATTTGGTTACTGACGTAGCGTGCGCTCACTGGCATATTGCTAAGAGTCAAATTTGCAAAGATCTTTGTATATCTAGAAATGCAATTGTCACCTAGTCATCACATTTTCAAAAACAAATCTAGTGGAGAGCAAATTATGTGCCTAAATCTTCGGGCAACTAGATGCGTAATCTGTTAAGGTACTTTTGAAAATCCCATTAGGCGGCCAAATATTTGTGGAAAATCTGGTCCTCTGAGGGTGAGCAAAATTCCCCTGAAGTCTCTGGTAATCATTCCACTAACTTCAAGAAGTTTTGAATTAGGCTGTTATATTCTACCCATTTCATATCTCTCAACAGCAAATAGCAATCCTCTTGCTGCTGAATGGAGAAAGAATGCTCAGCCTTGAATATCAATTCTAACTGGAGAGACCTGGAGGATACCTAACCAGGTAATCTCTTATTTTACATTTGTTTATATGATAAAGAAATACTGTGAGTCCTTGAACCCAGCTGGCTCCAGGAGAGCGGCTGAGCCTCTTGGTTTCTAATCCAGAGACAACAGGATGGAGATCCTGAAGGGAGCGGATTTCCATCAGTCACCTCTTCTTAGGGCGATGCCTGCACACCCCAGTCCGGCAGAGATGGACTCCCCGTCATGCAAACAGCTAATTCACCACTTCCATTTCACTCTTGTGTCATCCCTGGGATATAGAGAATCCCTAGTTCCCATCTGCTCACCTGCAAATATATACTCTGCAAAGATAAGGCGAGGGTTTGTACTTCCTTCTGTGTGTTTGCTTTGTAATGTGAAAGTTTTCTGGTCTCCAGAAAGTGGCTTTACTGCACAAATGCTGCCCTTGCATCTCACTTCCAAATCCCACTGTAGAGCATGTCTAAATGGACTGATACCTGTGTGCATCTCTATACGCATATTTCTATATATCTAACTACAGCAGATCTGAACATGGCCCCATACCTGTCTAAAGAATCACAGACCCACAGAATGGCCGAGGTTGGAAGGGACTTCTGGAAATCATCTAGTCGAACCCCCCTGTTCAAGCAGGGTCATCTAGAGCACATTGCACAGGATCGCGTCCAGACGGGTCTTGAATATCTCCAGAGAAGGAGACTCCACAACCAGAAGCATAAACGCTCCCTGAATGAACAAGATAGACAAGCTTCACCCCTTTCTATGTCTCCTGCTCTAGAAACTTGGAGGCAAAGAGGCTTACCTCCATCTTTTCCAACAAAAAGCTAGTGTTTAACTTTTCTAAAGCACCTAAAGCTTTTCCTTTCCTTCAGGGCTAAAGTACTTTCAAATGACTGATATAAAGGATTTAATGTTAAAGAAAGGCGACTTTGGGGACTAAAACCGTGGGCTTACTTTTATAACTAATCAAAAAGGAATGCATTATTTTGCTAAACAATTCCCATAACAAAAACGTTAAGCAAAATTACAACTTCTCCCTCAAAAATACCTCAGTGCTGATTTCCCTTGGGGTTTGATCACAGGTCACATACAAATGATGAGCCCAGCTTTACAAGGTGCCCAGCCATCTCATACTAGGAGGTGCTCAGTAGTGTTGGCCTTGTAGTCTTACCTCTGTGTGAATCCAGCTGAGATTATAGAGAACTGAACAGTCAGATTTCCTTGGTGCTATTTGACTCCTCTGTCCAATCTGTGGAAGTTTAATTTGTCTGATTACTTCTGCATGGTCTTGCAAACCAAAGGCAACCAGGTCGGCTCTTGTAACTATGGCAGAAAGGAGAATGGGTGTACTGTTTGTCAAATGGAAGGGAACAAAGTTGGAAATTTTTGTATATTAGCTTTTGGAAATGGCTAAAACACGGGAATCTTTAGGAGCATGCTGACAAGTTTCCCTTGAAACAGAATGGAATCGAAAACATTTGGGAATTCTTAATATAATAATGATGCTTTTTAACTTACTTATACTAAGAAGAAAGTGACACATTCCTATGTTTAATATGTTCTTTGGTGTAGAATTTCAAACCTTACAAGCATTACGTTTTGGCACTGGAGGCTGCCTTTGTATAAACTGATGTTGACACGCTCACTAATTCTTGGATGACTTCAGGCAAGGAAATAATATCATGATGTAAGTTGGAGAAGAAAGCATTCTTAGCATTCTGCATACATAAAAAGAGTTTTCAATAAAGGCAAACATTACAAAAATACATTTATATTTTCTGATTATAGGAATGTAGCAATTGGTGCTGTTATGTTTTAGAAGGTGAAGTTGGTAGTGAGAAAAAATATTTGGTGGAGTTTGATTACAGACAGATCACTGCTATGAGCACTACCAAGCTTGACGATGCTTTTGATGCCGTGGCTCTTAGAGAAGAAAGTAAGTTTCTCAAGAAGTACCTTTCAAAAACTAACTATTTCTGGTTAAAAAAAGAGTTAGAAAATTTATTTTCTTGGATGCATCTTTTCAGTGAGAGGTTACATTGCTCTGTGAAAGGGAAGGAATGTTTCCTGTTTATTAAGAGTGACAGCAGCTTTCATTTCTATCGGGTTTTTCCACCAGAAGATAATGCTCTCTTTCAGTATGAAAATGATGGGCAAAAGACTTGTAGATATCCAGAGGGGACTGTCACAGAAATGCCTGGAGAAAAATGTTATGATTAACAAATAGCTTTATCTCTCAGGCAGAATAAGTCAACGGGGTGTGTGTGTGTGTGTGTGTGTGTGTGTATGTTCCTTTTTCAAACAGGACTGATCCTTGACATATGCTTTCAAACAAAGTAAAACCGAGAGCAGCTGCCCTCAAAATGAAAAATGGAAATTGTGTCAATTAATGATGGTTGTATTTTCATGACTGTTTATCAAGGGAAATCAGTCCAGGGTAAAAGAGGACATAAAGTACAGGTCGCTTAGCAAAGCACCACGGGAGTTTAATATTTACGAAAATGTAATAGGACTTATAGATTACAACTGTTGTTTTTCAAGGCTGCCTACAAAGGAAGATAGGGGGAAGTCATGTGATGGGAAATAAAGTTTACAACCCTGGTCCATGTCAGATGATTGAAGCCAGATAACAAAATTTAATCTCTGCCAGCCTTCTAGTGTATTATACTCTAATTGCAATTAGTGGCTCTGTGCGCATGAAGTCTCCCAGCAATTAGCTTCTTCTGCTTAAGCTTGAAGTCAGGAGTGTAATTTGGATGTAATTGTTAAGGTGGGAAAGGTCTATGAGTGCAAAAGTAATCTGAGAGTAAACAAACACCTCCTCACTGAAAAAAACCCCATCCTTATAAAGTCTTGTGCAAATAATTTCTGAGAATGAATATAAAAAAAAAAAAAATCTGTAAAGGCTCAAAAAAGTCACACTAGACACACTTGTCGCACTTTGGAAAGTGAGACACTCGTCTCGCACCGGTCAGGAGGATGATGTGCAAGTCCAAAGGAGGACCAAAATCTTCCTTATGTTGCAGGATCAATGTCCCCCACTTAATAAACTGTACATATAACTAATAAGCCCTGCCCCGTCTCTGTATGAACAGGCAAGTATTGTTATCCTCATCATATGAATGCTGACATCTAGGACAGATATTAAGTGACTTGACCAGTTGAGCTGGATCCCTGTTTTTAATCATTTAGTAACATCCTTAACATAAGATGATGCTAGTTTTAAATATTAATACTTCAAAATATGAAACCTGTCTCCAGCTGAAAAATAGGTTCTTAAAAGAGGGAGGACAATTATTCTCTTTGAAGTGCAAAGCAGCCCCTGGCTTTAGTTTTAGCACGTAAACCAGGAGAGTAAATATTAAAAATACTTCTTATTAATAAACCTCAGATACTCACTGACCAAAACTGGATGCATAGCGGCTGGTGGGCTCAGTATTACACAGCGGCTCGGTCTACGTACACCGAATTATACAGGAGTGTAATCTAGGCATTTCTGGGTTTTGCATTTCCTCCGTATGCTGACATAGCATTCACACTCTGCAGAGAAAAAAAATCTAGGAAATTGCAGGTTTTCTCTAGGGAAAGCTCCCCTGCGCACATCCCTTGTTGTGTGCTTCTGTATATAAAGGCAGGAGGACAGAAGTGAAGGAATGGTGGGGGTAGGGAGGGGAAAGGAAGGTCACCTTCCTTTTCCTTCTCCCTCCCCTTTCCCACAGTCTTCCCCAGTACCTTAGGCACCGGTGATCTTATCAAAAACATGAGCCGTGGACTACTTTAAGATAAAGATAGCTACAGTTAAAAAGGAATTTGAGTATTTGTATAATGGAAAATACATGCAAATTCCTCCAAAAGGGTAATATGACCCGCTACTCCCACTCTGATTACCTCTATACCAACAGTTTTATTGTTTCTTTGCAGTGTATGCATAACAGAAGATATGCCATTGTTTTCTGATGAGTTAATTTTGTTTGATATTAACATCTTTCCTCAAGGTAGTGAGACATTTTTCTGTAACATTTGAAAGTCGAAAGTTACATTTTAGTGTGGCAATAGGAATTAAACATACATTAAAGCAGGGACTGAAAATGTCAATTATTATAAGCAGTATTTTGTGCAAAGGCATTATTCATTTATTTAATTCATTCCAATATTTACCATTGTAAATGTCAGCACTGTGGGTTCAACCGCCTCTGTCATAGTTTGGATAATTCTACTTTTTCAGAACTTGCTTTTATTTCACAGTCATAACGCATACTGTCACTTTTATATACAGCTGTTATCACATTCCCTTCATATACCATTCTCACTGAACAAAATAGATGGGTGAGTTTGTGATTAGGAAAATATGTTCTCAACTGTTTCATGTGACTCTTACCTTGTCCTGCTTCATCCTTCAGCAGTTCATTTGGGTCTTGGGTCTTCAGTCACGGGGCAGCTCTAAGTTGTGAAAGAGAGGTGGCAGATGCTTCCAGTTGCATGGAGAACCACGAGACATCTGGCTGGCCTCCCTTTCACGTTGGCCATGGCTCCACTACACACAACCTCTGTCGGCATAAAGTTCAGTAGCAGCCTTGTGCAAGTGGGAGAAATTCAGAGCAAATCCCTTTGCTGAGATTTTGGTTTTGTTGAGATTGGGCTGCTGAGGATGAGGGAACAGCAGATCTTTGCTCATCACTGCTGCTCTCCATAACCTGCCAGCAATGAACAGCTGTAAAATCTGGTAGAGAGCTGGAGTCATAATTCCAACTTTTTCCCATAGAGAAAATTGGTAAGTACACGATTTCAATGGATGGTAGGCAGATCTGAGAGCTATTATGCTATATCATGAAACATCTACCACTGTTAAGGCTAGGTCTCATGCTGGAGAGTCAGTGAGAGGCTGCATTTGACTTCTCTGGGCTGTAGAACAGACCGTACATACAAAATATTACATTACCTTATTTTTGCTTTTTAAAATAGGATGCTGGTCCTGAGAAATAGGTAAATAAATTAATAAATAAATAGATTTAATTTTTTAACTTCATGGATAGCTGCCCCATGGTAAACATATATGTTTACACTGGAGAAGTAGACTCTAATTAAGGCTATTGACACTGGGAAACTTAACATTACTGAGATTAGCACAGAGTGATTCAATTTTTTCAGCTGCTGTCTGTCCTTCCCTCTGGAAGATTTAAGGGAGCAAGGAGAGAGTATCAGAAGCTTCAGGAAGACTGTTTTCTCCAATGTATTCTTGTCACAGAGCACAGGAAGACCTCTGGACCTCTGCTGAGATGGCCAGGGTTTTTCAGGGAAGTCTTTATCCCTACATAAAATACTATTTGCAAAATATGAAAGCTATAGTATATCAGTTAGTTAAACAAAAAGCCATCTTGTAGTGCTGATGCAGTGCTCTGCAGAGGCTGAAACATATACTCTCCAGGCACAATCCCTAATAGCTCACAAAGTCCCTAAGCAAAGGGTAGTGCAGGTTTATAGCTGCTCAGAAAACAAGAGTAGGAAACCCAGATGAGATTATAAATGCGAGTATAAAATGAAAAAGAAGAAAATGATGAGCTGCATATATGTTCTTATGTTTGTGAATGCAGTAGAATCTCTATCATGCAAAGCATTTTTGTTTTGTGTCTTGATTTTTACCTGAGGCTATAACAGCTGCTATGGTTTTGCATCATTTCTCAAAATGGAACAATGCATCTGATATCATTTATATCACTTTATCTCTGCTGACTTCACCGGGATTATGTCTTTGTCTCTCTCTTTCTCTCTCATAAGAAATTTTTGAATTTTCTTTATCATTTGAAACACTTAAAAATATCATGTTCTTCCTTCCATTCATATAGGCAGCGCACTACCCTTTTAAGGTCAAGTCCATTTTTCATTAAGTCAGCACAAGGATTTTCCTTTATATCTGTGGGAACCGAATCAGACTTTCATATCAGAAGCTAAATTAAGTATCACCTCATAGTATATACATTGCAAATTTTCAGAACACTTCATGCATTCAGGCAGTTTGAAGCTGAAGCTAACACAAAACCTATTTAGTAGATGGAGTAATAGCTTCTTACTTAAAATCCATTAAGGTAGTTTCACATGAAAACAGTCTGGCTCCAGAATACATCCAGGACGTTTCATAAAGTTAGTGAAACACAGTCAGATCACATATGAGGCATGGGAAGGGGGAGAAAAAAGGAAGATTAAAACAAGTTGTAAACGTTTTCAAGACTATAATTGTTCAAGACGTAAGAAACATTAGCTGTTAACACAATCAGTAGGAAGCGTTATCTATAGTGAGCAAGTGTTATTTTCTGGACGTGCTTGTGTGAAAGAATTCAGCCTCTAACATTGCCTGTGTATCTCTCCAGGAAGTATTGGATAACTTACGAATCTGCTGGGCAGCGGTAATTAATTGGAGACACTTAAAACCAAGAAATCCCTAGCGTGAGATCAGGTTTATTCAAGTTTTTAATGAAGAACTTGATAGATTCCACATCCCTCTTGGGTGATGACAGTTATTCATGATGCTGAAGTTAAGAAACTAAGAGCGTATATGAATGCATGAAAATACCACTAGCCAGAGACCAAGCTCTTAAGTACTGATTACTGTAAAAATAACGACTTAAGTCATTACAGCTCCACTGAACCCAGTGAAACATAGATATTTAAGGGCTGTGATTATACGTTTGGGCATAATTTCGGGAACAAGGTCTCACGGGAAGGTCTTTTTTCTGACATGACCTATTTTCAACTATGTATCATTTTTGTAATGGCAGTGATGTAAAGTAAGATAACTTTAACGCAGAGATGAAGAACGTTTAGGTCTTTGAAGCAATCAGGATGTGGCACATAACATTTCGCACTGATGGTCTGGTGAGGTATCTAACTATTAATAGCGATACATGTTGAAAAACCAGAGGTGAAAAACTGAAGGGGCCCGATGCCAGGACAAACACAAAATTAGAACATAGCTTGGGATACAGAAGCATTGCTCAAGCCGAAGCTGTCTCATGCTGATGAACTGTTATAAACTTGCTGGGTGTGTCTACCAGAAAATCTCTTCTGCCTTATTACTAAACCTTTTCTCCTCATTCCTGGAGTGTAGTGGGTTCTGATGAGGTTATGTTTCAAAATGGCTTCTGTATGTGGCAAACTCAGAGCAAGCTCGAGGTCCCATATTTTATACAAAGGAGTGGACGAGGGGCTTCATCCCAAGATGAAGAGCAGGGAAATAAGAGTAATTTATCTCAATGTTTGCTTCGCACATAGATCTCTGCACTGACCTGTTGCAGAGCTCATCTTTCTTGGGCAAGCTACATGGAATGTTTAAATTAAGATAGAAGCTATGATTGGCGTTGTACCTTTGTGATTATAAGTTTAGAAGTATAACATGTTGTTTGCTCGTTACAACATACATACTACCAAGCCTGGGAGACCTCATGGCTCTTATGATAGCCTAATGTAAAAGAGAGACATTTTTATTTGGAAAGGCATGATAAATCCCTATCCTGGGACCTCCCTTTAGAAACCGTTTAAGAAGAGTGAAGCAGCGCAAAAGGAATTCAGGAAGATGTTTAATAGAAAAATACTGCCCCGCAGGATTTGAAATATAACTGGACAAAGAAATTTGAAAATTAACTTCAGCTAACTTTTTATTTAGCTTAAGACATTTATCTAGTGACAAAGTTTTCAGAATGTTTTCATGTAGAATAATCTGTAATGTAAATACTCTCCTTTGATCTGGGAAATAGCAGGTCTAACTGGGAAAAGAGTATCCAATAATAAGTAAGGTGTGTTGATCTTTCTGTGTTTACTCTCTTCTGTTTCACTACTAGCTGCCAATTAAGTACTTTTTTTTTTTTTCCTTTCCCCTAAAGAAGGGAAACTTTTTTCATCAAGAGGGGTATACTGTGTTTACTCTCTTCTGTTTCACTACTAGCTGCCAATTAAGTACTTTTTTTTTTTTTCCTTTCCCTGAAGTAAGGTAACACTTTTCATCTAAAGAGGTATATTTTTGTAGCTGATTTGGAAGTTCTCATACCATGTCATGGAAAACTTCTGTCACTTGGACTTGCAAAGCGGTATTTGGTTACTGAAGTCATCAGTCAGTACTAGTACTACCTGAAAGTACTATAGGCAGAAATGTGCAAGAGTCAGTGATATAATGCTGTTCAACAGTTAAGAATGCAATACCCACTGCTAAAGAGTTGTTGGTAGATTTTATTACTTTTATCTATGACGTTACCAGTTCACATCGAGGTTGGCGTGAGTTAAAAATTTTCACCATTTGATTTGACCAAACTGAAATGTGATTTCTGTTTGATTACAGAGGGACAGGTGTTTCTATTACCAAAAATTTCAGTAAAAAGGCCAAGGACTGAAGAAATGTGAAGACTGAATTCTTCCTTTCTCCATGGCCCCTCAACCAGCTTTTTATGTCAAGGTGTGGCTGACAGACAAGCTTGGTGTAACTTCCCGTGCTGCCTCTCTTAGGCAGGTAAAGAAAAGTCAACATGTAAGGTACCTGATCTGATGCCTGTAAAAGAAAATGCAGTAGAGACTGTGGGTTTTAAGAAGAACGAGTCTGTTGTAGGAGATTATTTAAGAAAATAAATAAAGCATAACTCATAACACCTGCTTGCATGGTAGGGGAGAAATGTACTCAAGCACGCCTTCCTAGATAAAGCAAAGAGGTGAAAATAGTAAGAGTATCTGTCTGAATAATGAAGGGCTTGGACATATGGGTAAACAAGACTATTCAGGAGCAATGAAAAGATTTCAGGAACTGACTTACTTTCTCTTGCCATCTCCAACATGTAGACAATGCAGTCCCAGATAATAGTGAAAAACACACACTGTGCTGCAAGACCTGTTCTTCATCTTTATTGTACTTGATGTTTCCAGGGAAGGGAACATCTTGCGCTTTTCTGGCTGGCTCGGCTTCAGTTTCTGTGATATTTTTTTAAACTGCCCTTCCATAGTGACAATGTCACGATGCTTGTAGTTGTTGAACTGACCAAATAAATGCCTATCATTTCTTAAAGTTGGAAAAATCACTGTCTGAACATATCTACCAATTTTGTGAACAGCTGTTTTGTACTTTTGGAGCACGTTTTTTAAGTAAATGATTTTATAGGTGGCTCTGACTCTGTAAAAGGAGGTGAGCAAGAGACAGTAATATTAAAAGCAAAATATCAGAGCGGGACAGCAATAAAATTATCTGAATTAAAAGTGATTTCTAGGTAGTTAGTGCATAAGTAATAAAGGAGAATCCAAGTACAGCTATGCCAAGTCTGACACTCGAGCATCCACTGCACCTCCTCCTTCATTTCAGGGTCTGCTTCAGATCTCCGGCTAGCAAAGGCTTTGCTGTGCTGACTAGATAGAGGTGAGGTAGAGGTGAGTGTCAGTAAGACTGCCTACAAATACAATACTGTTATAAGATCTTCAGTGTTTAGGGAAAACTGAGTCATTAAAAAAAAAAAAAACACCTCTGAAAATAAAATGCACATGACAAATTCAGAAAGAAAGGAACACCATGAAGTTGTCGAGGTAGAAAACAAGACACTATAAACCCTCATTGGCCTTATGCAATGCTGCTTTTGCCTTTGTTCTGATCTAACTCTGGCATACACAGGCCAACGTTTACTAATCACCAAGAACTGGGAAACGGTTGCTGAACGGTGTTAAAAGATTTTTCCCATTTAAAACCTATTTTGACTCAACATGCTCCAGGAAAAAAAAGAAAAAAAAAAAGCTTACTTAGAAGAACCTTAAGAAAACAAAAAATACTGCATTACTAGATAATTGGAGCTCACACTGGGTACATTATGTAATAGCACTTCTAGCTCTAGCTGCGCTTCACCTATTTACCCATCCCTCCAGGCAGAGGGCACAGTAATTGTTACCACACCTTAGAAACTTTCCATGGAAGGTGTGGTCTATTGTCAGAATTACATCAGCTCTTGAAACTGCGTGCACACGGTGAGGAAGCAGTTAGAACCTGCTCGTCTCTCAAACGGGAGGAAATACCACTACAGTCTTACCATAACTAACTCTTTTTTATTATTTTTTCCTTCAGCTTAGTAAAAACTTATTCAGCTACATAAAGATGTGTTTGCAGAACTGGGACTAGGCAAGGAAGGGGGGCACTGGCATACCACCAGCTATGAACAGCGTGCAGAATAGGTGTCTAAAAGCAAGATTTGCTAATGCTTCTGGCAAAGCTGCCTGAAAGTCCAAGGAAGACACATAGCTCATGTGACTATCAGTGGTATACAGTCTTTGGAAAGTTGGTCACCAGTTTAAATTCTAGCTAGGCGGAATTAGAAATTGTCACGGTCAACAAAGCTGGCAAACGATTTAGGCAAGATATTAGGGAACAGACATTTGATAAATTAATGCCTGCATATAACATTAGCTTCACTTCTCCAGCTAATGGATTCGGCTCAAAAATAGGAAGCTAGCATTGTTGCATTCATGTCTGTTTTTTATGATGCATGTCAAATTAGGAAATGTTGGAGTGCATTGAAAAAAAAATTGTTTTCCTAAAGCAACTTCTAAAAAGATTTAAAATGAGACGTACCCTGAGTATATTCTGATTTTCTAAAGGGGAAAAAGAATCACTGAGTAGTCTACAGAAGCTATTGTGGTTTTATCGGTAGATTTGCAATACATTGAGACTTATATATAGAAACAGAACTGTATTAGCATTCTGTGAGAAAGAGGCTATTTCAGTCTGTTCATCCACTAAGGAGACAAAGCAGACTGTTAAGTCAGCCTTGACAGCAACTCTGAGTTTTCCTGGAATTGTCGAAGAAAAGGATTTTATAACTATCACCATATGGAGGTATAACATGTGAGGCAGCCTAGAGCTATTTCCTTTGAAAGCAGAGCTCTAGATTCCTATAAGAAAACCATGTGTATAAAAAGCTGTTAACTTGACAGGGTACCTGGTGTGGTTAAGTTACAATACATTTCACCAGAAAAAACTTGCAATTTCCTGAACAATACATTTTAATTTACTTATGGTTTTTTGGCCAAGGATCTCTAAAAAGAGCTCTGGGTAACTCTGGTCTTTGGGTAGCTGGTTAGTCTTACCTTCCCAGGTGAAAAAATCTCAGCCAAACAGATACTGTAGTTGTGTGCCTAATTCAGGCCACTTGAGAGGGGAGAAAGGACAGAGGTCTTTGAAAGCAGTGCCTAAATCACGCGAGATTTGTTGAGTCCGCTGGCTTTTGCTGAACGGAAGAGTATGGTGTGCTGTGGAGTTGTGCCCTGGAGCTCTTCCAGCTAGTGCAGACACAGGGATTTTTCAGAGAGAGGGTAAGTTATACCCCGACACAGTGCAGAGTTTCTGTTTTGCTCTATGCTAGTGTCTCTTAAATCAGTATGTAAAGACCAGGTTGGTAGTTTTAACAGAGGAGATGTCCACTGGCTCTCACGTTCTGCAGATCTTGCTCCTGTGAGGGACGTTGAGTAGAGCAGGCTGTTGTCTTTGACTCCTGTGCTTCTCAGTGCAGAAAGACACGCGCTGCTTCTTTGCGCTTTGTCTGTGCACTGCTCTGTGACGTCTTTCTCTGCTTTGTGTCAGAGATGGCCTGAGCAGGGAGGAGGTAGCAGCACAAGGGGATATCCTTTTCCTTATGTGAGCTTTTTTTCCTTTCTACGCAGCCCTGCATATGCTTTTTTGTCCCCTTTCTTGCGTCTTGCCACAGAAGACGATGTGGTGTATAGGGCAACATGCACCCGCTAGTACGGGTGAACTCCCTCCCTGTTTTGAACCATTTTAACTAGGGAGCTGACGGGAAAATACTCATAAATGCAAACATTAAACCCGAGTGTTGGAAAGTATAGTGATTGTTACAGGTTAAGACAAGATCAAGAATCTCAGTTATTACATGTTCCAACCAGATCCCCATGTTTGTTGAAAATATAATACATCTGTATTTAGTTTAAATAAAAGATCGTAACCATACTGGTATTTAATATGAGCAGGTGAACGTGTCAGGGCTTAAACTTGGTGAAGAACATGAGTGAAATATTTAAGTTGGCCCTCTCGCTTAACAAGAAGTCGCTATCTGATGTTGTCCTGAGTAATAGCAACGGTAATCGTGGCATCAGGAAAAAAAAATCCGCAATGTTAATAAGTAGATTTTGTTTTAATTAACAGTCTTTAGAGTATGAGAATCTTGTTAATAACTGTGAAAACATTTGCAAGTAAATGTACTGTACATAATCAAAGTAAATCTATTCAACCTCTGGAGCACAGCAGAGAAAAACAAGTGCTAGAAATTCAGTCTAAGGAGGAGAGGGCATTACCATAAAAAGGTAATCCTCCTAAATACTAGCCTCAGTGGAATGCTGTTTCCATCATTGCCTCTGATAAGTCATAAATGTTAGATCACCGTGCATCAGCCACTACTTTAAGACTACCTTTATCAAATAAAAATATTGCCACCAAGCAAGCGTCACGCTGTTTGGCCCAGGCTTTCTACAGAACTGAATGGCATAATTTTGACAGAGCATGAATTCTTGTAATCATTGCAATGCCCTGGTCTACTGTCCAGTTTTCGTGTACAGGCTTAGAGTAGCTCGCAAGCACGGGGAGAATTCAGTGGCAGGAGGCACAGAGACCATCTGTGTAAGCACATTCACGTGAACGGAATAACAAGTTGATAGTGATTCACGTTATGGATGATTTGTCACATTGCTACCTTAAACTAGAGGTAGTAGGTAACTAATCACATCTAATGACCAAATGTGAGACTCTGGAAATGCTTTTAATCACAGATTAGGTAGAACTGTCCCTAGCGTTAATACTGAGTTTCTGGCGCTCGGCCGCTTGTGAACAGCATGTCGTTGAGCTCCGGGTAAATTCACCATCATTGTCATTGGGCTTTTTTTTTAGGAGCACTCACGTCGCGTGAGCCAACCAGCGTTTCTCGCTGCAGGCCTGTGAGAAGAGGTGCTGCCGTTAACTGCGGCTTGCGTCTCCCTTGCGAGCGTGGCGGGGAGTAAAACCGGAGGGCTGAGCAAAACCCCAGTTCAGCTTCTTAATCTTTCAATTTAATCTCAATTTGGAGGGAGGAGGCATTGGTAAAAGGAGAGGAAGGGTGGTGTCTGTGAGTCACGAGTTTGTATGCAGGGAAACCGAAGGCAAGTCTGCCTTGAATGCTCGTCCTGACGCTACCGACTTGCTGTACCCGTGTGAATAATCCTATTGCCTTAACCAGGACTACTTGGGCGTTGGAAATTAGTCATAACCGAAGCGCTTTGGTGAACGTTTCTGCTCGCGAGTGCTGAGAGGCGAGGGGCAATTCCCGAATTTGATTCAACTTTCTCCTATGTGACTGAGGAAAAAGGGAGTTCAGAAATGGTAGCGTTCAATCTTAACAGCTACTGCCTGATCCAAAGCCTACCGAAATAGGTCTCAGTCTAAGCTCAGCTCAAGGAGAATCTTTATATCCTGAACAACTATTTGGCATGGAGCAGCAGGAGGAAAAAGGTGTCTATCTGTCTGAACCGAAAGCACACAACAAGCTTTGGGGTGCTGTGAAAACGGATAATGGAAGCTATTCCAGCATGTTAACCTCCCTCTCTTTCTGTATTTGTATTTTTTTCCCCCTAAGATCACTGCTCAAGAGTATGCCTAAAAACATGCTGTGTAAATTCAGGGACGATACTTTGCACTAGCTGATTGAAAGGTTTTGTCTGTTTGTTTTTCCCCCTTGTGAAAGAAAAGAGAGGCGAAATCTCAGGCTTTTCAGTGGGGAAGAAAAATGGTCTAGCTAAAGTAGGGCCTAAAAAGAGTAGGAAACATACACCATATATATAGCTTATTCTTGAAAGCATTGGAGGAAAGGAGAATTAAATGTGTTTCTCCTATTGTAAAAACACTTTTATGTTCCCTAAAATGCTAATGTAAAAAGTACATTTAAAAAATGCCAGAAAAGGTAACATTGGAAATCTGAATGCATCTTTCAGGATCTTAGCCATAACTGAAGAGGGCTTATGCTTTCCTTTCTCTAGGAAAGAGAAAAGGCAGCAAAGGTCACTTCTGAAATTGCTCATTGAGTTTCTGGAAATGCTTATTTAAACTTCATCCTGCAAACTCTCGTAGTTCAATTCATACTTGTGAACAGTGGTTAAACGCAATGGGTGCGAGATCACTATCTACATTCTGCTGAGTTACTTCATGTTTACTTTGCTGAAGCGGGCAGGTCTAGGGTTGTCTGGTTGCTGCTGGGACAGTTTTCCAAAGGGGAGACTATACGCCTATCAGTCAAAAGCTCATTAAAAAAAAAAGAAAGAAAGAAAGAAAGAAATGAAAAAGTTACCTTAATGGTTGAGGGGACAGCAGCAGACTGCCCCTTTTTGCTGAAAAGGTGCTGCCACAATTAAACAGCTCTGATGCTGCCTTGTTTAAAATCACTCCTGCAGAAAATGGCTTCTGATATAAACATAATAGTGCAGAGCATTTCTCTTGCAAAGACAGCCGGAATATTGCCTCTGTAAAAATCTTTCTACATCTCTAGAGATGCTTCCCAGGTTGCTCTCTGTAACGGAAACGTTGCGCTCTGCAAAAGGAGCTTGTTTTCTGGAGGCAAGGTTTGTCATAGAGGAGCTCCATCAGGAGCAATGAGACTTGGTTTTTTTGGGTTTTTTTGTTTGTTTTGGGTTTTTTTTCACCCTTGAACATTAGGTTCTGTTGATAATTACCTGACAAAGGCTCCCATCCCCTATACCATATTAAATACCTGCTAGATGATGCACATATTTGCTGGAAACACCTGGTAATCCTGCCTTCCCACCGGGCTGTATCCCTCCGAGGGATAGTGGGAAGTGTAAAGTGGGAGTCTATCAATTGTTTACTTAAATTCAAAGTCACATGTGCAAAGAGGTCAGTGAAAATTGGGCATGTGCTTTATAATTAGTTTCCAGAGATTAGTGATGTGCTAATGACCCACGTTCCAAGCGTTGCCCCTCGTGTGCACAGAGGGCATGCAGGTGTATTGGGTTTATAATCTCAGTCATACAATGGGAATGATACATTCAAAGGAAAAACAGGTAAAGCTGTCTTAAAGGAGTTTCTAATTTAGAAAGTTGAAAAGGAACCATATTAAAGGAAAACAAAGACCGGGACAGTGTGAAAGAAAGAAAATAGCCTGTAGGCGCTAAAGAGTGACAAATCAAACATGCAAAATTTTGCCCATGTATTGGCTTCTGCTTCGCATACGGTCACTTAAATTGAGTGGTAAGTAATTGAGTGGTCTTTCTCAGTCATTTAGATTTACCACATGAATGTACTTGGCTAGATTGTTCAGCCGGTGCCCAGGAGGTGCCCGTAACCTTGTGGCTGAGATGGAGCACAGTATTTCATGGTTCTCTGTCGGCTCAACATCACAAACGTTCTCCATCCCTCCCCTTCCAAAAGCCAGAGCAGGCAGGGAGAACAGAAAGAAATCCCAAGGGACTAGATCAGTGTCAGAGCATTAACGCTTAGCTGATGACAACTGTGAGGATTAATTCAAGCTGGTTAAATCCTTCTTAACTAGAATAGGGACTAGCAAACCATCTGGTGGACGGAGCAGTGCGACAGGACTAAAAGGAAATACTGTCTGAGTAGTCGAGGGAAAAATAAACCTCTCCGCAGACTTTCGGGAACTGCTGTGTTTCTAGATGTCTGACCACAGCAAGGATCAGTTTTGATCACAATATTTTAAATAGCTATTGTGGCGAAGTATTGTATTTCCAGCTCAGGAAAAGTTAAATATTATGCTTTGACATTCATTATTATAATGCACAACTCTTGTATAGAAAGACTACTTACAGCCATACATTCCATGAAAAATCATTATACCATACGATCTATTTTCCTGCTAATATGTTTTCTACTGCCATACTATGTTATTCTATTGCTTCATTTCTGGAGGCATTTTCAAACAATCTTTACAGGTAAATATCTCTTTCCCCCTTGCTCTTCTTACCAGTCCCTTCCTAATTCAGTCATTCATTTGAGAGAGGGGCTGTTGGTCTCCATGCACGCTTTGCTTTTCACGAAGCAGAATAAATGAAGTGCATGCAATCACAAAGACAAACTACAAATGACCCGAATGTACAGAGAGGTTAGGATGGCCGCTCTTGGAGTTGGTAGAGGCTAGCTGGCCTACAAAGGCAAAGGTGATTAGCCCCATAAACTGCTTTGAGGTTACCTGTCCCGGCATTAAGAGTGTTTGTCTCTGGGGAAGATCAGACAACGTAAATTGGATTTTATGATGAGGTCTCCCCTCTGCGATGTCACTTCACTGATGTTTATATTAAGAATGTCTTGCTTGCAGTGGGTTTAAGCTTGTTTCACTTGGTTTAGTCTCCTTGGAAGTGGAGGAATCTGATGCACCCTTATAAGAATTTAATTTCCAGACTCTGTTCTGCAAGGTGCACGCTGCTACTCTTGAGTTGCATATACTAGTAATTGGCTTACTGTGAGTTATTGGTAGTAGCTCTGCATGCGGTCTCTCAGGAAGGAAGTTTCCACAGAGCGTTCAGTAAATGTATTTTTCTTCCATTCTGATCTGTTGGTTCCTTTTTTAAACCTGGAAATTCTCTTGTTTGTTTATCATCGTCTTGAGATATTTATGCAGCTCATGTTGTTGTTCCACTGCAAGGTTTTACTAGCTTCCTGATTATAGAGAGCTTGTTTGTCTGTGAAGAAGTTTTCATCCTGCTGCTCCCCAAATATTGCTGTGTGAAGGAATTTTTAAATGTAGCAGATTGGCATATAAGCGAATGTAGCAAATGGCTTTACAAAAAAGAACCCAGCAAAAGTGTTTAATTTTCAGATAGAAAAACACTGAAGCTTTCATCCACATCCCTCTTCTGAATGTGGAAATTCTTGTGGTGAAAATGTCCAGAGTAGAAATCCGAACAGGAGAGTCCTATGGTCTGTAAGGCTTGTCTTGTATTTGCAAAGAATCTGTTTTGTGCCGGGCTAGAGGCAATAAAAGTAAACATGCTCATAGCCTTTGTCGCTACAATATAGGACTGCAGTGAAAGAGAGACTTTATTTTAAAATGCTCGCATGGATAGTAGTCGTGTTCTTGAGCCATACCTTGGCCTCTGAATACTGCTGGGTTTGAAGAAATATATTTAGAATATGTCTGAACTAAAAAGTTTCATCCCTGTCCCAAATATTCTCAGATTATTTAAAAGATTGTCTTCACTCAGTGGAGTGGCCCAAAATAAAGATAAGTCATGAATTTTGGATCCCGATGAGAAATAAGAGGATCAAAGGAATCAAAATATCCACAAAGATAAAAGTCTGTTTGCCAATGTCAAGTCTTACTGCTGATGAATGTAAAGGGCTCTTTGGATCCTTGGCAATATCAAACAGGAAGCAACTGTGTGTGTTTATCAGCTTTTTTACAACACAATCATATGTTTCTGAGAATGGCCTCGGTCTAATCCAAGATAGGGAGTAAGAAATCTCTTAACAACTTCTGTGTGTCAGAATACTGGACATACCCCAAAATCTGGAGTAACTTGGTTTGGGTCTTTTAGATCCTTTTGAGGGCAGCTTTTCCAGTAACGTTAAAATCGTATGCCAGGCTGAAGCTGTGGATTCCCTTTGTTTTGATCCTGATGAAAATCCATCAGTCTGGTCAGTCATTCTCACAAAACGGCTGTGCCTTTAGCATGCAGAATAAGTAATAGGAATGAGTCATCAAGGAAAACTTAAAGGAGTCCTGAAGGAAAATAAATATCCTGGAAAACTGAGTCATGAAAAGGCATCTTGAAAAAATCATAAACTGAATAGTAAAATTCACATTGCTACCAAGAATTGTTTGTCAGTCAATAATTGCTAATAGCACAGGCCTTCAAGTATACCAGCACAAGATAAAAGCAGATAGCATATAGTTATTCTATTTTTGGGTAAAAGTACATTAAAACTTTTTAAATTTTTCTGTGTTTTTAGCCATCGTTAAGAATAGACATGCTGGTTCACACCAAGGATTCATCTAGCCTGGTACTTTGTCTTCAGCACTGAAGTGGATGCTTGGAGAAAAGTAAAAATAGGGTAGGTGTATATAATACCCTTCCTCTCCTTCCCTTCCTCCTTTCCACCCCCATGCGCTCTCCCAACCTCCAGCCACTGTCAAGCTTTGGAATCCCTGTGGCTGATGGGGTTGGTCAGTTTGGTAATCCACAGTGCGTTTCTTCGCTAAGCATTTGTCCAGTTGCTCTGTGATATCATGCAAGCTTTCTGCTTATTAAAAATGTAAAAGGTTCATGAAAGGGCAGCAAATGTATAGAACATCTTCCATTTGAGATTTTTGGCTGTGGAGTTTTATTCAGTCCACGCAAAAGGAGATGGTTCTTCACACAGTCTGTGATAGGCCTGTGCAACTCTTCCCCGAAGGATGCTGCAGATGCAGAAAGTTTCCACGAGTTTGAAAGGCAACTGGACAAATGCTTAGCATAGAACCAACAGCTCTGGTTTGTTCTGAAGCTGACTCCTGCTAACTTCATTTTCTCTTCCCATGCAAGAACTAGTGCACGAGACGAATAGTTGCTTCCTGTTCACCCTCTCTGGAGTATTTAAGAGTTTGTAGACCTCTAACATATCTCCTCTAAGCTGTCTTTTCTGTGCTGTAGAGTATCTGCTCAGGCGTTCCCCATATGTATGTTGTTTCATTCTTGTTCCTCTTTTAGGAACCTTCTCCATTTCTAATGTTTTATTTTTGACCAAAGCTTCATGGAGTACATAATGTAAAAGGTATGTAATGATGTAATAGTACATTCTGTTCCATGCCCGATTGCTTTCTTAACTCCTGAGATATGGCTATCTTTTTTGACTGCTGCCAAGCACTGAGTTGATGACTTTATGGAAGTCTTCATCTTAACATTTTGAGCAACTACTGGAAAACGGACAAAGCATGAACGAGGGTTGTTTTTGTAATTCCAGAACTGAAGGCTAATGAATAATTTTTCTTTACAGCTATTTACAAGGTCATACTTGTATATGCATACTGAATTTCATTACCATTAATAGCTTAAATGATCTCAATCTGCACCTTTAGGCACCATTTCTCTCTCTCTCTCTCTTTTTTTTTTTACAGTTGTCCTGAAATATGTTGAATTTCTTGTGACAGTTTGCGGTCACCGTAATCATACTCGTATAGCACAGAATATGTGAAATAGATATGCATCTGCAATTACCCATGCTTTGTAATGGATAATTAATGAGATAACCTTCAAGTTATTGGAAATTTGCTTATATGGTTATGAATGATCACAAAAATCAGATATTGAAAAGCAATGTTAGTGTTCCTTTTCTGTCATCCTGTCACTACGGAAGTGATCCTAACTTCCTTTTCTTTCAGTAGCAAACAGTCCAGAGGAGATTGAGAGTTATCAAGGGTATAGAAAATAAGATGTATGAGGCAGTCTGGAAGTATGAGGATTGTCTAGCTTAGGGAAGAGGGACACCAAAAGAGAATTCAAGAACTGAAAAGCTGCTATAAAGACAAAAGGACTAGTCTGTTCTCCATGTCCATGTAGTCTATAAGGATTAATACAATGTCAAGAAAAAATGAGTCTGCAATAGAATTGCTATCTCCCCTTCACTAAAGGTCTTGAAACAAAGTCTGCCCCTTAAAAAGCTGTCACATGCTCTTCTTAGTGAGACAGGGATAACTTCTAAACTTTACTTGACGTTACGGCGTGCTTCTGTATATTTTCCATATCAAATGCTAAGTGAAGGTGGTCCTGTTTTGAGTATAAGTGTCCCTTCTTAGTTTCCTCCCAGCCCTATCTGTAGCTGGCAAAAGTGGTCAAGTAAGAGTTTGCAAAGACATTTTTATAGAGAAAAAACAGTTATCTCTCCAGACTTATTGTCTGGTAAGAACATCACTATTTTTTGGCAATTTTTTCCACTTTATTCTTTGTGTAAATTCCTCTATTTCGAATGATCTAATCCCCTGAACTTTTATTGTATATGAGATTTAAGGGTTGTTCTACAAATCTTGCGCTTTGTTCCTCACCAGCTTGATATTTTTTCTGTTAAACCCAGTAGCAAAATCTCTTGAAGCTGGAAAAAAAACGCAGGGCGAGCCAGCACAAATTAATTTCACTGTCTGGAGCACAGTGTTCTTAAGGATGTAAATAATCTAATGCTTAGAAAATCTTTGAAATCTTCAGTTTGTCAGCCTCTATTAAAATATGCTCATGAAAAAGTTCTCAGGAATTTAATATGGATGAAACAACTGAAACTTTTGTGATAAGCAAAGCAGTTAAAGAATTTAATGGAAAGTGATATGCTTTTAAATGGGCTCTTTAATGAGCATATCTAGTTCTATAGCAGACATACAGATAGAGCAGAAAACCTATGGCAATAAGTATTACTTTCTGTCAGGCTATAATAATGCAAAGACTTAGGCACACAAATTGGATGTCTTGCTGCACTGCATGTAAAAATACGAGTATAAATCTTAAGACAGCCTTCTCTGAAATGCATACCAAAGAAGGAAAATGCTATAAGAATCTAAGTACCACAAAGTTCTTCCATTATCTGACTCTTATGTTAGTTGTCCAAATGAGATCTTTCAAATTTGTGCAGGCGGTGTAGCCAGTAAGACTTTTCCAAAAGCATAAGGACAGTAACGACATATAGCCTAATTACAAAAAACAGTACTTGTGAGGATCCTGATGTTTTTGGATACCTATTTTTGGAACCACCTTGGTTTGATTTTTTTTTTTTCAACATGATCTTTTTATTACTTTGCTCGAATACAGAAAAGTAACACCTTTTCAGAGCTGTAGTGTTGGGTTCTAGTTACCTCCAGTATTTGTAGCCACAGGCACCCCATAAAATTCCTTGGGACATCAGAATAGAAATAAGTTAAAGGAAAAACGCACTGCAGCCTCTGTGTTGATGTTGTTGGCTCTTGGCCTGTGTACGTCCCTGAGTTTTTTGCTGAACGTTGGCTGTGCCACAGGGCATAGGATTTGAAGCAACACCTTTCTGAAGTAGTAACCCTTTTTCATTCCAGAAACAGAATTAAGGGAAATACAAAAAACCTAACGTTTCACAGGCAAGAATTTCGGTACAGCTGAAGAAATGGTAAGATGAATTATTACAAAAGGATAATGCCAAGTGCTTGATGGGAAGTTATAATTCTGGTCTCATGACTCGCAGCAGAAGCAAGCAAGGGCTGTTGGTTGCTTTGGGAGGCATCAAAACAACAGTAGATCCTCATGGGTGCCGCAGATCGGGAAGCCTTCAAAAAATTGAGAGGAAGTCCCAAAGAAGGGATCAGTGAGCAGTAGTTGAAGCCTGTGGAGAAGACAGTAAGACTTTAGGAATGTACTGGGCCAGTGAGAAGGTGCCGTAAGAGGAAACGTAGTGTGAGGGCAAGGCTCACGGTAGCAGAAGCTCCGTGCAGCGATGGCAGCTGGTGTGGAGAAGCTGCGAGGCAGAGGCCTGGGCCTTCCTGTCGGGATTTCAGCAAAGATGCAAGATGGGGAGGAATTCATTTGAAGTCCTGAAAAATGCAGCAGCACAGAAAGAGAAACCTTAAGTCTCATGCTGGTGGGACAGGGGATGGCCCTTTTACCCTACAGCTGCTTTTTTTTGAGAGAGGGGAAAAAAGGGGAATATAGCAAGAAAACAATCTGATGCTGCTTGTTGTGTTGGCAAATGTTTGCATTTGCCTGCAGAGTATTCATCCTGTCGCCAGAGATGAGGAATTAGGTGATTTCAGTCTGACAAAAAGTTGTTTGGCAAGTTGTTTAACACTGCAGGCAGGCAGCTTTTGTAATTTCACAACTGTACTATTGAGTCTTTCTGGTTTCAACTGCCCTTGTTTGGAAGAGCTGTGTCTTCCAGTATTAAATGGTCACAGATATCAAATATTAGGTTTCCTCTTCTCTCTTCCCATTTTTCCTTTTGGGGGTCTTTTTTCCTTTCTTTCTGCACAAGAATCAACAGCAATTTTTTCAGTGGCAACGTGTATGTGGTTTAGTGACCTCAGCATAGGACCAACAACTAGAAACTTCTGAGTCTTGGGGGTCTACTGCTGGCCTAAACTTGCTGTATGAAGTTGTCAGTTGAGGTCATAGTTAAAATAGTTTCTACAGAGTATGAGACTGAACTGTGGCTTATCCATGGCGCTTCAGTGTAGGTAGACTTTCGTTCTGACTGCTGTGTTTGTTTTCCACATCTGTAACGTTCCTCGGTCCTCACAGTATTGTAAGCGTTACCTAGTATGTACGAAAAGCGCTCTGAAGAGCCAAAACGTTGTCTGCTTGTTATGTACGTGAGTGATACTCTGATAGCTGCCCATGAAGGTGGCTTAAATTCCTGATTCTGATCTTGCGCTTTGTACAAGTCACTTATAGGTCTCCTGCAGTCAATAGCGTTGACGAGCTATTAAAAGGGTGAAGTGTGATATCAGAATCAGGCTCTAGGACTGTTTTCTGTGCATGTGTGATTCGATAGTAACGGCTATTTGGAAATCAAATGTAATTTCTTGAAAATGCTAATAATTTTAAGCAATCAATGGCTTGCTTTATGCTTAAAGCATCTCAGTAAGATGACTAAGGAAACAGAATTTGCCAGCTTTTGTTTAAGGCAAAATTCTGACAGTGGCTGCAGATGCTCTTAGCTGCAAAGAAATGCAAATTGGTGTATTTAACACACCTCAGACATGAGAAGAGATAAACAGCTCTTCCTGTCTGTAGAAAAATAATTGGAATAAAAAAATGAATTGTGGCATGAGGAAAACTTCATTTCTCAGCGGTAAGATAGTGTTTTTCCTTTACCAACAGCCAAGCAGCAGAGAGAATGTTTTTATAGCTTTTTGCTTTCTAAGATGATTGCAGTGTGGCTAGAGAAAAGTTCAATATGTTATTTTCCGTAGTCATATGGCTAAAGCCTGTCCCTGAATGTTTGCTTTAAAACCCTGCTTTAAATCAGCAGTAGTATCCCTTGCAAATTTGAAAAAAGAGTACTGATGCCGCTTAATACGCGCAACAGAAAAGCTTCCTCACTTGCCGTTTCTTCATAGCAAATGGCTG